CCCACAGGGTGGGGACAGGGTGGTGACCTCTCTGCCACCTCTTGCAGATGCGGTGCCCAAGCCCCGGGTGACGGTGACGGTGACCAAGGGCGACCGGCAACAGTGCAACGCCACCCTCAGGTGCTCCGTGGGGCTCCAGGAGGTGACCTACGAGTGGATCCCCCCCCCTCAGGTCCTGCTGGAGGGTGGGGAGGGCCCCATTCAGGAAGTCTCCTTCAACCCCTCGGAAGGCACCTACGTCTGCAGGGTCAGCAACCCGGCCTCCTCCAACAACGCCTCGCTCACCTACAGGCACCCCTGCTCCTGGACGGGTAGGAGGGGTTAGAGCCGCCCTGTGGGGTGGGCTGGGAGGTGGTCTTGGCTTTGGAGGGTCCCCAGAGCAGCTTTGGGGACACTGAGGTTGGGAAAGACCCCCCGGGATCATCGAGTCCGCCCCCCCTGCCCCATCCCCACCGAGGGTCATGTCCACTCCTTCCTTGGAGGGCACTCCAAACCTCCCTGGGCAGCCCCTGCCAAGGCCTGACCACCCTTTCCAGGAGGAAATTCCTCCTCATGGCCCAACCTGACCCTCCCCTGGCACAGCTGGAGGCTGTTCCCTCTCTCCTCCCGTTGTTGTGTGGGAGAAGTGCCCGACCCCCAAGGGGGGGATCCCTGCAATCCCTTGGATCAGGAACTGTGGGACCATTTCCCCCCCAGCACTGTGGGCTGATGAGGGGGAGCAGGAGCCCACCTGGAGAAGGAATCAAGGACTGGGATCACTCCAGATCCCTCCCCCTCCCCTTGGTCTCCCTCTGATTCCAGCTGAATCCTTTTCTGACTCATCCTGCACTGCCACTGGTGGGCTGGTGTTCCTGGGCCACCTCCTCCTCCTCTTCTTCCACCTGGCTCTGGCCTGAGGACGCTGCAATCATCATCTGTCCTCACCTCCTCACCCCCCACCACGTCACCAGCAGCTCCCAGACCTCGTGGCTGCTGGAGGAGATGATTTCCACCTAATCCCTCCCTCCGTGGGTTCATCAGCAGATCCTCCTCTCCCTCACGCCGTGGGACCAGTGGGACCACCCAGCCTGAGCCTTCCCAAGGGCTCTCTGGGGGGATTTTGGGGGCATTCTCTGTTTTTCAGGACGAGGGGGCAGAGCCAAGGGGGCACCTCTGGCTTTCCCCTCTGGGTTTGAGGACAAACATCTGTTTATACACATTAAATTTTTACCCAAACACCACGTTTTCAGGTTGCCTGTTCTGGGGGTCGTTTCTGGGTTTGAACATCAATATTTATTTTTTGCAGAGGTCCTTCCCCCCACCCCCTCCTTGAAAATATTTTCTTGGGTCCTGATCCATTCCCACGTGGAATTTTGGGGCTCATCTGCCTCTTACAAGATCTGAGAAGTCCCTAAAACCTCCTGCAAGGAGTAAACACAGAGCCTGGTGCTTCACCTCGGCCAAATTCCCAGCCAGGAGATCTCGGGCTGAGCTTTTGGAGAAGGGAAAGGAGTTTTCCTGGGGGAAGGGCTTTGCTGGGTTCTTCCCCCCGCTGCGAACTGCTGATTATTGGGAAGTGGCCGCTCTCTGGGTGGGAGGAGGGGCCTCACAGGATGCCCCCAGGGGCGGTTTCGGGTGGTTTTTACCGTCAGAAATAATTTTGCTGACGGCAAAACTCGCCGAAGACTCAGCGATGCTTCACTGCGTGAATTCCTGCTGCTGCCACTTCCCGAAAAAAAAAAAAAAAAACTGGGAGAGCAACAAAACTGGGAGAAACCCGAAGGCAAAAGCCTTTCCCCTCGATCCCAAAGCTGAGCCCCGACAGCAGGGGATGATTCCCTCTGCCAGGGGAGAGTTTTCCAAGACAACCCATCATCATCCTCCTCCTGACAGTGGATCCCACAAATCGGGTCAATCCCGGGATATTCGGGGCTTTCCCACGGGTGAGAACCAACCCCTCTGGGTGGGCACCGAGGTGGTCCCACCCCCTGGGCGGTTGGGGATGCCGAGAGATGCTTCTTTTAGGATCTTTTCAGAGGTTCCAGCACGCAGCGAGACGAAGGAATTATTTCCTCACAGGTTATTATTTCCTCTTCTTTTTTTTTTCTCTTTTTTTGGGAGCTGAGGACCCTCGGCTGGAGGATGAGGTTTTGTTGCAAGCATAACCCGACGCTCCACTTCCCCCCCTGCAGGTCCCCTGGGGTCGTTTCTGCCGAACCGCGAGCCGGCGCTTTGAATAACTTTCCGATTCACAAGCGAAAGGCAGATTAAAAAAAAAAAAAAAAAAAAAAAAAAAAAGAGCAGCATTCAGCCCCAAAAAAACAGGAAACTCATGGCCCACGAGAACGGCGCTGATTCGAGGGCACCTGTTCCCGTAAGGACAGCCGGCAGCTGATTTTTAAACCCCGGCCCAGGCAGAGCCTCCCTGCCATCCCAGCATGGGCTGCTCGTCATCGGCATCGCTGCTGCTGCCGCTGCTCATCGCCCTGGGGGCTGCCTGGGGTTCGTGCCTTTGCCTCCCTGGAACGCTGGGTTTGGGCTCTTTGGGGGTGTTTCTTTTTTTGGGGGGGGGGGTTGTGATGCTCGGTTTGGATTATTTGGGGGGTATTTGCGATGCTCAGTTGGGGTTGTTTGGGAGCATTTTGGTTGTGATGCTCAGGTTGGGTTGTTTGGGGGTATTTTTTTGGTTGTGACGCTCAATTTGGATTATTTAGGGGGTATTCTTTTTGTGATGCTCAATTTGTATTATTTAGGGGTATTTTTTTTTTGTGATACTCAATTTGGATCATTTGGGGGTAGGTTTTCTGGTTGTGATGCTCAGTTTGGGTCATTTGGGGGTTTTTTTGTTGTTTGGGCTGTTGGGAGGCGCCACCCGAGGGATAAAATCATGGAATATTTTGGCTTGGAAGCACCTTAAGGACGATCCATTTTCAACCACCTGCCATCAGGTCCGTTCTGGGGGTAATTCCCCCCCTCTTTTCTTTTCCCCCTCGATGGAAAGAAGGCGGCAGGAAAGGTGGGGGTGGCACCCTGGGGTCCTTTCCGCGCTCCCATCGCTGCTGGCTGAGGTGGCACCTCCTCCCACGCTCTTTTTCCTACAAAAACAAGACTGTTTGCCCAGGGCTGGAGGCAAATCTGAGTCACTTGGCTTGAATGAAACACAGCAAAGAGTTTGGGGGGGAGGGGAGGGGGGTAAGAGGGGAGAAGATCCTTCCTCACCCAAAGGTGCTGCTGTAAATTTGAGGCCGATGCAAATCAGACTCTGAGAGCTCTGGGAAGGGGAGGAGGGGGAAGGAAGAGCAGAGGGGAGGCAGAGCTTCCTCTCAGGGTTCAGGATGTGGGGGTTGAGGGTGGTGGTGGGGGGTCTCTCCTTTGTTTCTGGGGGTCTGTGGGGTGGGCAGAGCTCAGGGTGGGGGAACAGTTGGGTTGGTGTTGCCACCCACGGGCAGGAGGTGGGGGAGGAGGACCCTGGAGATGCAGTCCAAGGACCTGCTGCATCTTCAACTGGCTTATCTCGTGCAACCAGCCCAGGGATCACCAGGCTGGGCCTGGTGACACTTCTGGCTTGATCCTTGAGGGTTCTGGAGGATTCCCCCTCCTCTGGCAGAGCTGGGATGGGGAGGGGGATGGTTGGGGTGAAGCTCCCTCTGCCTCAGCCCTTCTCCCCACTCTCCTCCCAGGAATGGACCAGGGGGAGAGTGAGACAGTGCTGGGCACCCTGGGGAAGGCAACGATCCTGAGGATCCCTCCCAGGCTCCGGAACATCAGCCTGGACTTCGGGGAAGCCGTTTGGAAACGGGGGGGACCTCACAGGAAGCAAGTCCTGGTCAAGTACTCGGGGGGCAACCCCACCAACCACTTCCAGGGGCAGATCCGCTTCCACGAGTCCGACTTTTCCCTGGAAATCCTCAACACCAGCAGGCAGGACGGGCAGATCTACGAGTACAGCGTGAGCAGGGAGAGAGAGGAGGAGGTGAAGCAGATCCAGCTGAAGGTTTACGGTGAGAAACCCGACCCTGGGAGGGACATTCCGGATTCTCCCGGCCCCTGGGGGCAGGTCTGGGAGGTTGGGAGGGTGGTAAATGCTCACCTGATGAGGTAACCCCCTCTCTCCAGAGCCGGTGTCCCATCCCAGCATCCGCATCGTCAGCAGGGAAGTGGCCAACGGGAGCTGCAGCCTCGCCCTCAACTGCACGGTGGAGAGAGGGGATGATGTTTCCTACAGCTGGGGCAGCCAGGACAGCAGGGGCTGGGGGTCCTGCTCTGGGAACAGCAGCTTCCTGCACCTCTCCTACCCCCCGTGGAACACGAGCAGCTCCTGTGTCTGCACCGCCACCAACCCCGTCAGCAGCCGGGCCGTCACCTTCCACCCCTCCCAGTGCAGCCACGAGCCGGGGGGTAGGTCCCAGAATCCCAGAATCCCAGAATCCCAGAGCAGCTGGGGCTGGAAGGGACCTCTGGAGGTCACCCAGGGGGTGACACGGCCGGGTGGGGTTGGGACGTCTCTTGGGAGATGTTTGGGATGGATGGGTGGGATGAGATTCCCCTCTTAAGGGTGAGGGGTTTGTAGGGATGGTTGAGGGGTTTGTAGGGATGGTTGAGGGGTTTGTAGGGATGGCTGAGAGGTTTGGATGGATTGGTGAGACTCCCCCCCCCCCACCCCACCCCCTCTCCAGCTCAGATGAGAGATTTCTAGGGATGTTTGAGAGATTTCTGTGGATTCCTGAGATGAGATATTTGTGTGGATATCTGAGGTATCAGCACGGATTGATTGACATCCCCTCTCAGCCTTCTCCAGGCCAAACAGGCCCCCACTTCCCAACCCAACTGTCTGCAGCCTCCCAACCCCGCAGGGCACTTCATCACCCCATTACATTCCCCATGAAAGGACTTATTTTACAAGAAAATCAACCACCTGCTTGGGCTTCCCACAAACACCGACCTGGGGACTGCAGGTCCCACCTCCCTCCCCAGCCAGCCCTTTCCACGCCCTGGTGCTCCAGGCTGGTTTCAGAGGCCTGAAACTCCTCCCAGGTTGGTTTGGGGAGGATAAAACAACTTCCCATCGGGAGGTTTTTGGGGGCAAAAGTCCCGTTCTTGCTCTGTGGGTTTTTTGTTGTTTTGTTTTTTTTTTTTTTTCAGCTCTTTCTTGTGACCAGAGGGGGGGGAATTTTTCTGGGGGGGGGCTGCCCCTTCCCCCAGGGACACTGAGGTGAAGTCCCACCACCGATGGGACTCTTGCTGTGTGACCTGTGCCGGGAAAAGGTCCCCGTGGGAAAAGCTCTGGGGGATTCTCGCTCAGGAAAAGCAGAGTCTGAAATGAGATGTTCTGGGAGGGGGTTTCAACTTGTTTCTCACCTATTTTACCCCAAAAAAAGTGACTCACATTGTGTGGGGTCACTGGAGCTGGGACAGAGGGGCTGCCTCCCTGCCAGGCTCCAGGAGGCCACCAGAGATGTTTTTAGGGCTTTATCTGCCCCCAAACTGCCCCTCCTCTGGGGTGGCAGGGTGGTGATAAAGGGCTTGTCTCCCCAAGAGCCACAAGAGACATTTCTGGGGCTTTGTCTGGCCCTCAGCGGGTTTTTAGCTGCCTGGTGCAGTCTCGAGCTGATTAAAAAGAGAGAGAGCTCAGCTCAAACAGTTCCCACCTCGTTTCCTGTTCTGCCAAAAAAAAACAGCCCCAAAACCAGTGGCTTCTGCAGCTCCTCCTGCTCGGCTCTGGGGTGACCTGGGCCCTCCTTTCCCTCCCTGCTCCCCATCCCAGGTGGTGCCAGGCTGAGGCTGGAGCTCCTCGTGCTGCTGCTGGTGGTGCCCGTCGCGGTCGTCATCGTCATCCTCTTCCTGGGGGTCTTCAGGACCCCCCGTCCGGCCCTGCCAGGTGGGGAGGGGGGAGTTTCACGAGTGGGTGGTGGGCTGG